GGGGAAGGCAGCACCCAGGGGACCCCGAAGCTGCTGGGTCTGGGGGTGCGCAGGATCTGGCAGCACCCTGTGCCCGAAGGCAGCGAGCACTAGAGGGCAGCAAGCCCCAGCGCTGAGAGTGCGGCCTGAAAAACCACATTAAATAATAATTTAAAAATAATAATTTAAATAGGATCCTTTCAATAGAATGATTTCAATAGAATAAATAAAGGGATGGACGGCTGGGAGAAGAGGGGGTGGGTTTGAGTCCCTCCTCCTCCAGCAAACGAGTCTGTCGTCATCCCCCCATCCTCCCCACACGTACAAAATATATTTTAATTATCTGAGGTAAATAACGAGGCTGTAAAAAAATCGAAAAAAAAAACGTTCCCGATATCGTGTCCCTCCCCTTAAAAAAATAAAGCATCATAAATAGTTTTAAAGAAAATATGAGGATCTTCTCCCTCTCTCTCACATGCACGCGCATAAATATAGATTATATTATGGATTAAAAAATACGGGGTTTTCTCTTCTGTAAATTCAAAAAGTGGAAAAATAGAGGAAGAGAAAGGGAAGAGCCGCCCGTTTCTGAGAGCTCCTGCGCCGTCTCTCTGGAAACAGAAAGAAAAAAGGGAGGAAAAAGGAAAACCCCCCCAACCGCAATGGGTGAGTGAAGGTGGGGAGAGGCTGGGGTGGACACGGGGGACGTGCGCGTCAGACGTCGCTGGGGGAGCGGGAGCGGAAGGGGACGGTGGAGGAGAAGCAGCCGCAGCAGACGGCCCACAGCACTTTCTGGATCTCCTGGTTCCTGAAGGCGTAGATGACGGGGTTGATCATGGAGTTGTAGGTGGCGGGGAGGAGCGTGGCGTAGGTGTAGAGCGCGGGGTAGCTGTAATCCCCCAGGAGGCAGTAAACAGCGAAGGGCAACCAGCACGACGCGAAGGCGCCCAAGATGACGGCCAAGGTGGCGATGCCTTTGCGGGTGGTGACGTAGTGGGAACTGGCCAGGAAATGTCTCTGGACGGCGATTTGGTGAGCGTGGCGGCACACGATCTTGCAGATCTGCACGTAGAGCTGGAGCATCACCGCGAAGACCATGAAGAAGGAGACGGAGAGGATGATGAGGTGGTTCTTGGTCAGCGGCTTGACGATGCTGCAGGAGGAAGGCTCCTTCAGGCAGTTCCAGCCCATGACGGGCAGGAGCCCGTAGCAGATGGATGCTCCCCAGGTGAGGATCAACATGATGTAAGTCCTGGTGACCGTCCTCTCTGAGTAGTAGGTCAGGGCGTTGTAGAGGGACAGGTAGCGGTCGATGGTGATGGTCAGCAAGCTGCTGACGCTGGCTGTGAAGGAGGTGACCAGCAGCCCCACTGTCAGCAGGCTGACCGCCTCCGACGGCATGAAGTAGACGAAGGCAAAGTGCAGGACCAAGCCCAAACCGGCCAGGAGGTCGGCGGTGGCCAAGCTGCCGATGAGGAGGAACATGGGAGCCCGGAAAGCCGGGGTGTAGAAGATGACCACCACCACAATGGCGTTCTCGCAGGAGATGATGGTCCCGGAGATGCAGAGGACGACGTCCCAGGGGTTCAAGGTGAGGGATGGCACCACTGACTCCATGTCCAAGGAGCTGTCACTGCCGTTCCTGGCCGCAAACCAGCCCTGGTGGCCCTCGATGGTGTTGAGGAGCCCTTCTTCCATCATGGCTGGCCCAATAGGGCCACGAGTGGCCCCCTCAGCACCTGCTGCCCCTACCCACCCCTGCTTTCCCTGGGCCACCCAGCCAGGGACAGTCCTGCTTGCCCCCAAAAGTTGTCTCTGGGAGCCAGGGGGACACAGAGCAGTTGTGTTGGGGGGCTGCTTGCTGTTTGCTCCCCGAGGATTTTTCTGGATGAGGTGATTTGGGTTTAATTCTTCTGCAAGCAATGAAAAAGAAATCGGTGAATAAAGCAGGGGGTAGACACAGACACCCCCCCTCAGCCCCCTCCTGCCTGCGTTAGCTGCTGGGGTATACACTGGATAAATACGGGGGGGCAGGATAAATACTGGTGGATAAATACAGGAGGAGTAAGAGCAACCCCGGCTCCTCCCCCCGAGGGCAACACTCAGGGGACCCCAAACAGCAGGTGAAGGGGGTGGGGAGGGGGAAAGGAGCCCTCTCAGCCCTACCATGCGCCCCCCAACTGAAGAATCCCCCCTTAGCTTGGGGGTCTGCCCCTTCCGGGACACCCGGGGAGGCAGCGCAGCC